ACAGTTAAGAGCCGAGTGACCATGTTTTTCGCATATTTGACAGTCGCCGGAGAAACGAGGATGTTGAGGGCTAGAGGGAGAAAGATGGATGCAGACACGCCCATGATAGGAGTAGGGACGACCTCGACCTCGATTCAAAACAAGAGCAAATTGAGGGTCTGTGTTGTTGTCAGAGGTAGTGATATTAAAGTCTTAGATGGCATCAGTTGCAAGATTAACTTTAACTTCCTCATTACAGAGACGAGAATACAAGTCATCGAGACCAATAAGTATAAGCTTCGTTCAAATCACCGTCTTAAAAGCTTGATAAGTGGGAGGTAGACCATTTAAGATGTAAAGAATGACATCCTCTATATCGACGGAATCACTAGCAGCTGAGATGTTATCAACGAGGTGTTTGATAGTGGCTAGGTATTCGGTCATAGATCGGCCTTGCATAGAGAGAGTGTGTAGCTCATTTTGAGTTGTATAACCATGGATTGATTGGTAGAGAGAAAACGCCATTATAAGGTTGTCCAAATGGAGGCACAGGTGTCAAGGTTAAGAATATAGGGTAGAATGGAAGGGGAGATGGTGGAGAATAAGGCAATCAAAAGATATTGGTCGACTAAGAACCAGAAAGAATATTGGAGCTTTAATGTAAGTTGGCCGATAGCCGAAAGAAGATGTTTAGACGCGGGAAGCTAACTGCCATCGAGTTAGTCGGAGAATCCATTTGCAGCAAAGAGTTTGAATATAGAAGAACACTAGGTGGGATAATTAAAGGGAACAAGTTGGATATTGATGACATTTTTTATATTAGAAACAAGAAATTTAAGAGAATAGGGGATTGGGACATCAGTGTTAGGCTGAGAAGTAGTGGAGGCGGTGGCGTTGAAGGCGCTAAAATAGATGAGTCCGTCATTAGCGGAGAAATGAAACAGTTGTCAAGCGAAGAGGTCAGATACCATGATGAAGCTTAAATAATAACATTCATTACAGCAATAGAGAGAATGAAATGTAGAACAATATTCCTTTTAATCAGCACATGTGAACAGTGAATACATGTGTAGTTATATAACCAAGAAAATAGTAAAAGTGGAAAGACAACTATGCCCCAATGTGGTTACATAAATCAGTAAATACAAAGTGACACAGTGGTAGTGGCGCTGTATCCTGGCAGCGTGACAGAGAGGAGCTAAAAGCTCTGTAATCAGCTTTTTGCTGTGTGAGAGGATTGAATGCTTGTAACAGTCTAGCCTTGCATGACTAAAATCAAAGAGAGATTCATAATGCCCCAGCCTTATCACCTTTCAAGGTGTTAATCACCTTATGTGATTCCTACAAATCCCAAGATGAGGAATCACTACAATGATGTTATCATTATCATTACATTAGTTTCCAAAAAGTTTAAGGGCACGTGCAGCTGCAGCGGGGTTTGAATACGAGCATCGTCAATTTGGCTCCGGCACCTGTTTTTTTTATCAATGCAATATTCCCATTAACAATATGCTTAAGCATACGTTTAATTAAATAAATATCTATCCATCCAGGTAATTTACTACTTCTTGACTCCTCTATGCTCCTCTAAGAAGCATCAGGAACCAAAACGTTAAATCATATTGGGGGTTGGGGAGTGAAAAGTGGTGGGCTATGATACACCAACACGGACACGACACGACACGGACACGGGACACGGCATTTTTTAAAAATATAGAACACGGGTGCGGCGTGGACACGGCATAATAATTTTTTAATATAATATATATAAATTAAGATGATATTATATTAAAAATGACAAGCAATAATAAATCAATTTCATGATAACTTGTTTAGCTTATAACATAAAGATGTTTAGTACAAAATGTCTAGTACAACCACAAAAATATAAGAAAAAACTATTTAGTACAACATGAAGGTCCAATTACGTAATAGGGTGAATGATATAATTAGATTCAGAGGTTAATCTTTGGCACGCATGTGTATTTAGAACATTATGTCATAGATTAAATGATACTAACTCACTAGTGAAATAGATTAAATGACACTAACAAATTAGAGCTTGGTGTATATTCCTCCTAAATCATAATGGATATTCTCTATTTGAACTACTATCCTTCAACAAAGAAATTATAATTTCATTTATATCTTGATTATTCATTATTTTTATCTAGATAAGATTGTAACAAACCAATCATACATAGGAATATATCAAGTTAAATTGATATGAAGTGAAATCAAAATATCTCAATAAAAAAACAACATGAATAAAATAATATATTGGTCTGCCGGGGGTCCAAGGGGGTGCTGCCCTCGGAACAAATTTTTAAGGTAAGAGTAATTTTGAAGTTCTGCTTGTTTTTAAAGTTTGTAAGTTGTTTGTATGAAAATATACCAAGCAATATCGAGCATGTATTGAGCGGTACCGAGCATTTACCTAGCGGTACCGAGCATGTACCTGCTGGCTACCGAGCATGTACCTAGCGAATAAGATGATTTTATTATTTAATAACAGGACATGCGTGTCCGACACGTGTCCGACACGCGTGTCCGATTTTAATTTTAATTTTTTAAATTGCAACACTCCAATGCCGTGTCGGACACGTGCCCATGCAGTGTCGGATGCGTGTCCGTGTCCGACATTGCATACCCTCTTTAAGCGGAGTGTCGGTGCATCATAGGTGGTGGATAGAAGTTAAACTCTAACAATAGTCGACTTAATTATATTTTATGCCCTAAAAACCTACTATACCATCTTCTAGCAACCTCGATCAAACACTTTCAAAGGCATCATTTTGGCATGCCATGTTGAATTGAAGATTCCTGCATATGGAAAAACTCTAACTATGATATGATGGTTGTCTTTAAAAGATCATTGCTATTTGTTTTAGTCATTCTCTTTTAGAGGAGATCATAGACTTAGAAGTTCAATATAAATATTGGTATTGTAGTTGAGAATAATAGTTAGTTTTGACGACATACATCGATCTTATGAGCGATGATATTCATTGATACTATTTCTGACATCATTTGACAAATGATGCAATTAGTGGGTGTTGGTGTAGCCAAGCAATAATATTAAGAGCATGGTCATCAGGCGATGGTGATCAAAGTATTGTAGTCGAGCATCGTGATGGGTGGGGAATTGTAGACAAGCGACGGTGGTCAAGTGACCATAGTTAGAGAATCATACTCGGGCGACAGTGGCCAATAGACCATGGTTGAGAAATTATTGATGATTGGGAGATAGTAGTCAAATAACGATGATCAGAATATTGTAGTTGGGAAACGTTGGTAGGAGGATCGTAATCAAACAACACTAGTTAGGTAACTTCAATAGAGCAACGGTGGTTCGATGGCAATGATATAATGGCGATGATCGGGTAATAATTTGATGATGGCGATCGAGCAGTGTTCCTGCACCAACAATCAAGCGATAGTCCAGTGGTAATGGTTGAATGATAATGCTTTGATTGTGATAGTTGGATGAGAGTGGTTTGATGACGACGGTTCAATAATAGAAATCATAAGACAATGGTCCATTAGAGCTCTGAAATTCTTACAACCTCAAAGTTCTCTTGAATGTCAAGTCAATGATCCAAGCTCCCTCTTTATGTTATGAGTGAGAGCTTCCTTAAAAAAATTTACTTTGACATGCTTTGTAAATATAGTCAAAGTCTAAAACACTCCATCAAA